CTGGATTTGTAGACTATAAGATAACTTTCAATCTTCGGACTGACTGTAATAAAGTTTCTACTATGACATTATATTAAAAAAAAAAAAAAAAAAAAAAAAAAAAAAAAGATTTATATACTAAATATATAAGAAAGTTTTCAAACCAGAAAAGTGAGTAATACAGTTTACTTTTGCAATAGTTACTCCCAAATTAGTCACATTTTCTTGAAACTATATACTGTATCAATTATTTAAAATCAAATCTTGCTATAATTACATGTTATGACTATTACTATATTTTTTTCACTATAGTTACATCAAGTTTTTGCTAGACAGTATGACTATAGTAGGAGTAAACTGTAGTCTTGGTTGATCTTTATAAAAACTAGTTGTTATATATCTACTTCTGCTTTTAACTTCAACAAATTTTTTTTTTTTTTGTAAAAAATTTGGTACAGATAATCATTGAAAAGAGTTGTTATTTTTATTTTATAATATCTAATACTGTAAAATTAAAATATAAAAAAATAATTAAATTGGTTAAATACTGTAGTTGTTAAGTTATTTTGTTTAAAGTTTATAGAAGTTTTTTGTATTAATAAATATTTTAAAATTTTATTTTGACAATTAATTACCAAATTTAATAATATAGTATACTGTATATATTTTTATTATAATTCTATAGCTTATTGCTAATTAAAAATTTGTAGATAATAGATTTAAATTTTTAATATTTTGGCTTTATTTACTAAAAATATCTAAATTAATTCAATACAATAAAAATTTAAAATCAATATTCACAAGCTTTTACTTCGCAGTATTCATATCCAAGCCATATTTTTATTTATCTACTTAACAGGTTAATATTAAATAATACAGTATAAACATTAAGATCAAAAAAATATATTTTATTTTTTAGACTTAAATACGATAAGTTAAACAACTTGTAAAGCATTTAATCACTATTTCACTCGATTTAAGCAACTGGTTGACTCGGCTCATGCGCGGTTGACCCGATTTTGCTTGACCCCGGTTCGAGGCTCTATCTAATTTTATTATATAAAATATGATCTGCTAGTACTCTAATCTAACCCTAACTCTAATAATACTATCGCTACAAAAGAAGTATTTTAAAAACAATCCCTAGCAGATCTGCGGCAAGAATTTATTAAATGTTTCTTGCGCCGTTATGATCTCAATCGATTCTCAAACCATACCCACAAAGTTTGGGACCAGATTATTTTGAAGATCCAAAGTATCCGAAAAGTATATATCAGTTGCAATTTGCACAAATTTATCGAATACCAACATAAATTCATTTTTTGTAGTTTCTTAAGTTCATAATTCTTAATACAATTTATATATTAAATTGGGGAACTAACTAATGCCACTTTTCATGGAAGGATATTCGTCTGATTGGTTGATGTAATCAACTACTTGGGTAACTAACTTATTTGCAGTCTAAGTACTTTTTTTGAGAACGTAATGTTTCACTAATAAAAATTTACAATTTCACAAAAACTATTTCTAACTTCGAATTAACGTCAATGTTCACTTTGCAAAAATAATCTCTAAAAGATCTTACTTACTCCCGACATACTTAGGAAACAAAATACACCACCCGTCTATTGGACGGTGCGAAATCACTACTTTAGTATGAAGGTAACTGAAAATGGTTTCGTAAAAAACACTTTAATACGTTAGATTAGATAAACTTTTATCGCCAATCGTTTAAATTGAATAGGTACAAAGTTCTTTAGTAGTAGACGATCCGGATTTTCCGATTTTCCGGGTTTAACGCTTAAATTTGGTTGGTTCTTGTGGTGTGTGTGTTTGGGTTTTCAATGGCAAATTAAAGTTTTGGTGTATATTAACATTTACGCAACTTTACATAACTTTACGTAATTATCTATTCTCTAAAATATGTTTTTCAGTAAGTAGGATTAAATTTTTAAAACAATTATGGAATTTGATTGGTTAATTATCATAAGGAATCACGCGGAAATATATAAAATTAATTACAGAACTAATATATAGTAGTATATAGTAATATATATATAGTATGAATGTCTTCTATGTATAGATGTAACCGATTTCTATTTATAAAAATAACTGGTTACATCAAATAAGTCACACTCAAGCCTTAATTTAAGCCGTTATTAAATAAATCTGGTTACGTACAACACATCCTAAATTTCAACTTTTGATCAATTGTTTTTATTTACAACAGTACTGTACAATAAATAATATATCATATATATATATATATAGTAAATTTTATATTAATATTAACTTATTTTGAACAGTATTTATTCCATGCTATATATCCATGATATGGTCTATGGCATATATGCCTTATTCGGGAGCATGCGAAACAAGGATAATCGAGAAATTATTTTAATATAGTAATTGTGTCAATAAAAATTATGAAGAGGATCATATAATTGCGAGTTATCATCCAATCGTTTCAAAGGTGTAACTACTTGTACTCAAAACTCTTTCGTTCCTAATGTATGACGATATGTATTTTCAGTTCTGCCCCTAATTTTTTCAAACACTTGCTACGTACTTTCACTTACAGTTGTATTATTATTATTATTTCCAGTTCCTTTTAGCCCTTCAGTTCTTGATTGCGCAACCAACAATTCGAAAGGGTTTGCTGGTTTGCCTATTGATTCTTTCTACTAACAACTGCCTCGCGTGTCTTGTTTCGCTCAATAAGTAGTCATTAGACACCTAGTGACTTAGTACCATCATCTCGACCGGGGGGAGTCCTTGAGAACGACAGCGTAATTTAAATACCCAACTTAAGCAATAGGGTCTTGTGTGTCTGGTTACCGCTGATCCCTGCTTCCCTCTTTAAACAAACTCTGAATCAATTTTGTTCGAGGTTTTCTTCTTTTTTTTTTTTGTTTGACTCTCCTTAAAGTAAGTATTAAAGTTTTTTTATGTTTTAAGTTTTTTTTTTTTTTTTAAACAGGTTTAATTCAACAAAATTTTAAATATCATACTAGGCATACTAGCATATATCATATAATGGCATTACTACGACGCATTCAGATTTTTACTTTATTTATTATTATATTATTATTCGTTACAAAGATTGCAAATGTAAATGCTCAAGCTCCAGCGGCACCAGCAGCAGCACCATCGCAAGCAGCACCAGCAAATACAGCACCACCTGCTTCTGAACCAACTAATGTAAGTTAAATATATTTTATCTTACTTTACATATTAAACATTCTAAACATAATATATATAACGAGATTAAAAATAGTAATTATTTTTTTTTCATTATGATAATATAGCCTGTAAATCCACCACAACCTTCAGATACACCTGCAGCACAACCAACACAACCAGCACAACAAGCAGCAACTTCTGATACTCCTCCCGTACAATCACCAGTGGTGTCACCACCACCACTTAATCCGTCGTCACAGGCTGCAAAACAACAACCCTCAGCAGCGGTAGCGGCGCCTTCAGTCACAAATAAAAAAAGTGCCATAACCGCACCTAATCCTCAAGGTGGTGGTGCCGTTACTATTACATCAACATCATTTGTAGATAATCCATCACCTAATCCAAAATCTAATACTAATGCCGATAATGCCAATAGTAGTAACGATTCCAGTAGTAGTTCTACCAGTAGTATCATCACGGCTGCTATCGTTGTTGGTACAGTGGTTGTTGCTGCAGCTATTGGCATATGGATATTTAGAAAATGGAAACTTTCGGTATTTTTTTTTTTTAATTCAAATATGGTTATTTTATTATTTTAATACACGATCAATAATTAATTTTTTTTTTTTTTTATAAAAAAAAAGCCATCACGAAACTTCAAAGAAAAAATTCAGCCTGTCGATTTTGGACCACGTTCAGCAGAATCAGATGAAATATTTTTACGTGGATTACAAGAACCTTAAAAAAAAATTTTTTAAATTAATAAATATAATTGTTCGATGATCGCCCCAAAAGAAGTATCTCTTAATCAGGATTTGTTTAAGATAAAATTTCCCTGTATTTTTTTTTATTTTTATTTTTATTATTATTTTACTGTACTTTTATAGTATGTACCTTTCCAACAAAAAAATCATGCTCTACCATACATTTAAGTAAATAGTAATATACATATTAGAATACATTAGCGAGATAGGGGTTTTATTTACACAAGAGAGCGAAAATTATTATCTTTTTTTTTTTTCCAAAGTAATATATTGTATTGGTTAATTTTTTTTTTTTTTTTAAAAGAAAAAAAAATCCCATACAAATTCATTGTAAACTTGTTGAAGAATTAATTATTTATTTCAAACAGGTTTTTTTTTATGATAACGAAGGTATAATGCTTAATGTTTTTTTACATTTACATGAATGTAATAATTTTTATTAGTTTTTTTTTTCACGAATATATATATAGATATATAAAAACAATTACATTGTTTTTGATATTAAGATGAAACTCATATAAGTTGTGAATGTGTACAATTTGATAATTTAAAAATATATATATTTCAGTATGATATTTGTACTGTATCAAGTAAATTATAAACGTAATTATGGTTTATCACCCAAAATTCTATTTTCTCGACTATATAGACATCTTCGAAAAAGTCAAGCTAGTAATAAGTCTACTAGACACTTTTATCAAAAACATTTGATAGGGCATTATTATTAAAAAGATAATGGCCAGTTAGAAATGATGATCGATCACTAATTTATATATATATTTATATGATTAAATTACGATATGATTTTAATTAAAAATTTTTGATCGATCATCCAATCTCTCTATGAACGGTAAAATAGACAATTTTCTGATCCTAATTATCATTTCGAAACATAATAAGTTAGCTCGTTTAAAAATTCCGTGTAGAGATCAAATATAATTACTGGGATTGGTATACAGTTTGCACTGTAATTGTTAATTTTTGTGCAAAATATCGTGAAATAACATTGTTGCACAGAACAGTCCGGATATATGGCCAATTTATGCCATTTAAACGTGATAATTGACCAATCAAATCAGGTCAAGAACGGATTGCCCAAAAGATAGCTTTATATATTATTATTGAATTCGGGATTTGATTTTTAAAGTCCAAAGATAGAAAAGTGACGATTGACGATACATATCTTTAAATGATTGAAAACAAAAGAAACGCACTCTGGTACTCGAAAAAAGTGGGTTTAATAACAAAATTAAGTGAATATTTGTTACAAGTAATACAAGTATATTTAATCAATTAATTATACAAGCTTATCCCTATTATTCTCTTATCTCCTATTAAATAGGCTTGTCATCAACTTTTGGCCACCAATCGGGAATAAATGGTTTTACTCTGTATACCTCTCCTTGTTCACTAGCTACAATCAAATTTTCATCTTGAACTTTATCCAAGTTTAATAATGCCAATGCAACATTATGACAAGAAGACCCTATAGTACCTATCGGACGACTTTTTTTACTTAGTGTCTCTATTGACGTATATATTCCAGTTGAAGGTGGCGGTAATGGAAAGTTTACAGTACGATCAATTTGTAACGTAGTCGGTAGACTATTATTATTATTATTATTTATTATTAGTTCTTGCTTAGTTTCTAAAAATTTAAAAATTCCTAATTACCTTTCATCTTGCTGAACTAATTGCACGGGCATAATTCGTTTCCTTGTTACACCGACATGATAGGTTCGAAATGTGAGTTCTTGTCCAATATAACAACCTTTATGCCAGTCAACTTTTTTTTTAAAAAAAAATAGATTAGATTTAATCGTATTAATAAGAAATTATCATATAATATATTTTTTAGGTACTTACTTCCTCTCATGTAATCAAAATTACTTTGCAATGGTAATGATGACCCTGGCGGTAGGTCATCAATCCCTTCAGGGATACCATATAAAGTTCGACGAATTTTGTATTCTTCTGGTGGTAACCGATTAAACGATGATGGAACTGATGCTGATAATAATATAGAAATAATATTTTATACAAATATATGTTTAATATGATAATTTTCTAAATCAATTTCTAAATAAATAAATTTATAAATTATCAATTTATAAATCAATTTATAAATAAATTTCTAAATTATCAATTATAAATTAATTTCAAAAGTACTTACGTGTTGTGTTGAATGGCAGTACAAATCTTAGGCCCATATAAGGGCATCGTTTATCCATACACCCGATTTCAGCAATTCTCTCTTTCAAAACCAAAGAACCTATTGGTAATTTTGTGGCTGAAGGATTGGGTACTTGATATCGCCACCATAAATTGTTTATATTTCCACCCCACATATTCCAAATATTATATTGAGATGATACGTCAATAATTGAAACTTTAGATCTGAGAACGTATTTTTTCATGTGTTTTATGAGATCTGATACTATTCGAGAATCACATTCTACCAAATAGATTGGATGTGGAAACGTTGTACCCACGTTTTTTGGATGGACAAACGTGTCGTATAGTACGCGACCCTAATTCATCAAAATTTTTTTATTCATACGACTTAACTTTTTTTCAATTACACTCGAATTATTCATAAAATAAAAAAAAAAACTTACAATTGGACTCAAGAATGCTGAATAAAATCCATCTCCACCGGATTGAATTAATGGCATATGATTTGTTATTAGTCCTTGCAAAAATTTTACACTATCTTCACCACCAACTTCTACCAAACCGCGATCAGGTACCTGAACATAATGATCGCTCTGTAAAGTTGACACCGAAACTGAAATAATAATATTTTTTTGGTTTATTCTAGGGCTAGTATTTATTTAGTCTCATAATAAATAAACTTACATTGTCTTTTTAACGTTAAGCTACGAACCAATGTTTTCCACCTATACATAGTCGGTCTCGAATGTAATAGAGAATTGGCATTTTTCCAAATTTGATTATCAGATTATCAGTGTATTATACAGTTATAGATATAGATAATTGATTTTTATTACGTAACTCGTTAATAAAAAAGGAAATAAAATACAGCATATATATATAATATTGATATTTGACGTGTATAATAAATGTCGCAGATCATAATGAAATCGGATTAAAATGAAACTGGCGACCTTTCTTGCTCATCTTTAAAGCTTATGAAACCCACTTATACTCTTTTATTAATAAAACTAACTCTAAACCCTAACCCTAAAAAATGTCCCCCAAAAAATTTTAAATTTTCCTAAAAAAATAGAAAAATTTCATTTTAATCCGATTTCATTTTAATCTGCCACAATTTAAAGAAATTCATATTTATGACAAATAACAGCAAATTATTACACCAGGTAATAGAACGCTTATTTTAATATATATATATATATATATATATATATATATATATTTATATTTATATTTATATCAACGTAGCATCTATTTTATAAAATCTTCCATTCACTGCTTCTTTTGTCATACCAGTATTAGCTTTTTCATTCAATATAAAATTTCCATCATTACCTTCCTTAACTTTAATTTTTGTTCCTTCAAGTAAAGTATCAAGTTCATCTCCATTATGAAGTTGTGATGACTTTGGAACAATATGTGCTAAAACAAATCTACGTATTTTTTCCCAAGGATCTTCTGTTGAACTAGTCACGTAACTAGGTTTATTCGTGCTATTATGAAATACTGAATTTACAGGTGCGATAAGTATTAAAGATTCATCTTTATCGTCGAGCTTTTCGATCTTTTTAAATTCAAAAGAATTTGTTGAATAAAATATTTGTAAATTATCTGTTATATATATATATGTATAACAAGAAAAAAAAAAAAAAAAAAAAATACATACAATATCAACAAACATACGTAAATAATCCACAAAAGTCGTCAAATCCTTCTCCATAGGTAATATATCATTTAAGGTAGAAGGACCTTTAGGGATTGAATAATCGCCTATTTGTATATTTAACATGTTTCCTTCATAAGGCGTATTATCATAAAAGTATTTAGGATCTATTAGTTGTGCCAAAGAAGTTGATAATATGAGGAAGTATATTAAAAAAGTTACGATATTTTTTTGGTAACTCATTTTTTTTAAAAAAAAAATTTTGAACTTTTATTGTTTTTACCGTTTGGCGAAAAAAAAAAAAAAAAGAATTGAAAGAATTCGGTTACTTTATGGAGTCGGCCATTGCCTTGACATTTACAACATTAACGATTACATGATTATGTCATATTCCATACAAAAGTTCATGCATTGTCTCATGATTATTAGCCAATCAAATCATGGATTTTGAAAAAATAAGAAAAATAAGTCGATAGGAATGTTGATTGGCCAGAAATTAGTCGAACATTTGTAGACCGTCAATTAACTAAATTTTTTTTATTTAAAAAGTAAAATAAAAACAATATAAGAAACCACTATAGAAAACTATTACAAAATTACATAAGAAACTACCATAAACAAGATGTACGAAACAATCCAAAAATAGCATAAAAATCACCATGAAACGATGAAAACCACACAAAACGATGAAGTGACGAAGTAAACTACACGAGATGACATAGAAAACCACCACGAAATGACAAAGAAAACCACCATGAAACGATGAAGAAACCACTATGAACGACATAGAAAACCACCATGAAATGACGAAGAGAACCATCACGAAACACGCGTGGCGAAGAAAATCACGTGAAACGTAGAAAACCACCGCGATCACGAAACGGTGAATAAAATCACCACAAAAACGGTGAAGAAAATTGCCACAAAAATGAAGAAGAGAAGTTAGTAAAAATTCAAAAAAAATAAACCATGAAAAAATTAACCTGAAAAAGGTTAAGTAAAAAATCAAAAAAAAAAGAGTACCGTATTTTCGCGAAATAACGGCATGGGCGTTATTTCGAGGTTTGGCCCGAATTAAGCTTAATTTAGGCCGAAATTTGTAATTTCACCCCTGCGCGTTATTTCGCGAAAATACGGTAAAAAAAAAAATCCCTGTTTCAGAAAAAAAAAATCGCGATCTATATGATCGCCAACGCGAGCCCCTAATTTGGTATATTCCTGTAATATTAGTTTTAAGTCTCCGTGATGTTCACCTTTCATAGCACCGAGGGAATGTCGGAAGAATGTTGGCAAACAAGCTGGCATTTCGTGGCCGCTTCCGCTACCATGCTATCGTGACATCAATTTTCTTTAATATTTTTTACGCATATCAGATTATTTTATACAACAAGCCACCCGACTGTGGGACAGTCATGTTAATTGACTTTCACATGATTCTGCTCCACTTTAGACAACGTCAATATATGAGGATGAGTCAATAGAAATCAAGCAAATTTTTTATAATAAGAAGTTTTTATAACTTTAAACAAGAATAACTTAACAAAACCTTGACCAAATTTAATAAATTTTTTTAAAATAATTTTTACAAACGTGTAGAATAATTAAATTAATAAAAAATATTTGCTTGGTTTCTATTGACTCAACCCCATATAACGCTGCAAATTTGATAATCCTGGGTATAAAATTAAATTATGCCATTTATAGCCATTTACATTTTCCGGCACAAATTTTAAATATGTAGCAACAGCAGAGGTCTTTTTCGATTTTTAACAGTCGTCCTACCTCGTTTTAGTGCACCGGGGTCATAGGAGGACTTTCATATGATTGGCTGATGTAAATCAATTGCCCGGGTAACTTATTTATACACTTTAAAGTAC